CCACTTGGAAAGGGATCAGTGCAGGAGACTCTGGATAGAGTGGGAGAACAATGTGGAACAAAACTGAAAATCATAAAAAAGACCAGGCTTACTGGTCTGTTATATTCTGGTGAAATCCCCAAGACCATAGCCCCAAATACCCTTCTGGCCTGGAATTGAACTCACTCCTGTGACTTCCTGCCAAAGAATAGACGGGCATATAGGGTGAACATTTACACCAGGTAGATACATTCCTTAAAACAATCAATCATGAGAGATCAGAAGGACAGTAGCTACACAGGGAGATACCTCAGGTAGCAGGAATGCATAGGAAAGGACATAGGGAAGAGGTAATTGCAGGGAGGAAGTGGCAAAGAGCTGTTACATTGTGGGGATTACAGTCAATGTGATGAAACAAAATGTGTATGAACTGCTGTATAGAAAACGAATTTGCTCTTTAAATTTTCACCCAAATCACAACAAAAATTTTTTTAAAAATTGTTCTACATCCTACTTTGGTGAGTAGAGACTGAGGTTTAAAAGCTTTCAAGCAGCCATCTGAGATGCAACTATTGGTCTTCCTTCATCCAGAGCAAAGAAGAATGATAAAAATCAGACACATGGAAACAAGGGACTAGTGAACCATGAGAACCTTAGCCCACATGACCCTGAGACCAGAAGAATTAGATGGTGCCTGGCTAGCACTGCCAACCACTTGAAAAGGGATCAAAATTGGAGATCTGGATACAGTGGGAGAAAAATGTGGAACAAAATTCAAAGTCATAAAAAAAATCAGACTTACTGGTCTGACAGAGACTGATCCCTAGCCATCCATTAGGCCTGGAATTGAACTCACTCCCAGGTTTAACTTCTAACCAAATAATAGACAAGCCTTACAAGGTGAACAATTACAATTACCTACAGGTAGGTACATTCCTTACAACAATCAACCAGTATTTGCACAGGGAGATAGCTCAGAGAGCAGGAATGCTTAGGAAAGAAGGACAAGGAAAAGGTAACAACAGGGAGGAAGTGGCAAAAGAGCTGTTACATTGTGGGGATTATGATCAATGTCATGAAACAAAATGTGTATGAACTGTTGAATGGAAAATGAATTTGCTTTCTAAACATTCATCCAAATCACAAATTCTTTTTAAAAAAAGAGAGAGCAATTATTCTACATGCATGTGGAAGACCATTTTGATTCCCCCCTGCCAAAAAAACAAAACACAAATTACTTAAAGTAGGCTGGTTACAATAGGGGAGAGAGAAGAGAAGAAGATCAACCATTGATCCATTGAGTAGCCTTAGCATGATTCATTGAACCCTGCCCTTTCCCTTTTACTGAGATCAACTGATTGCCACTGGTTGACTTCAAACAGAAAAGAAAGATTAGCAACTGTGGGTGAACAAATGCCACTGGCAAGATTTAGTCAGGAATTTTGTGTGTGTTTCAGATATTTTTATTTCTTCAAATTGTTTTTATCATGAGTGACTGAAATAAAAAAACATAATTGAGTCCCATCATCATCATGGAAATGGCTTTAAGAGAAAACTGGTCAGACGAATATTATTGCTCCCATTTTCAACCAGTAGATAGTTGCCATTGATATAGGCAGCCAACAGTCTGTCAAGAATGCTCAAGGTATGGTATATAATACAACATGCCTATTCAACAAGGAGAAACCAACTAGGAAATAGCTTATGTGAACTTCTTGATTTCATTATACAAGACAAGCACAAAAGCACCACCCATGGCTCTGAGCATATTGGACCATGCACCCTTGACAAAAGCTTTGCCTCCTTCATCAGCAGCAACCTTCCTCCAGCAGTCAAGTGTGCCTGTGTACATGATATCAGTTCCTTTGAGCCCTGACTGCACCATCACACAGCGACAAACTGTGTCAAATGGGTAGGAAGTCAATCCAGTCACAGCTGTGCGGACTGAGCAATTATCCCGCTGATAAAGATGTGTGTATTCTTGGGATCTGGAAGCATTCCTTTTGCAGTGTCACAGATACCGAAATAGGCAGCTCGGTAGATGATAATACCCTGCACAGACACATTGAAGCCTTGGTACAGGCCCCTAATCTCATCCGATTTGTAGATCTTAATTAGGCAGTCACTGAGGCCTCAGAACTTCCTTTGGTGCCAGCTTTACCCACATCAGCTGCTAGACGGGTACAGGCAAAATCAAGAGGGTACATAAAGAATGTACGTGGCTCCTGCGGTGCCACTTGATGCTACATTCTCTGCAAAGTAGCGCAAAAACTGGGTCCTCTTGTCCACACCACCTAAGAAGATCTGTTTGTATTTCTCTTTAAAGGTAACGTTGAGAGCCTGGGTGGGGAAGTATCAGATGACATTGGCCAGGTTACCACACCAGAAGGCTTCTTGCTCTTTGAGAATGTGAACCCGCAGTCGATAATGCCCTTGTACTGCTTGTCTGCAGTGATTGGCTTGCTGACTTGTTGCACCTGCAGCAGCAGCTTGACCTGTTTGATAGAAGGAAGGCTGGGCAATCTACTTCCTTAGTGACACCGCCTCGGAAACCCAAGGAAGGGTCACTATGAGTTGGTTCAACTCCACGGCACATAACAACACCACCACCACGGAGATCTTGGAGATGGCTGCGGCCCCTCCACCTGCCAGGAAGTCCTTGGCAAGGACACAGCCGCATTTGTCATGTTGAAAAAGAGGAGGTGGGTGAGAGCAAGCATGGGACAGGAACCGGCTTTGACTCTGGGGCTTTGGAGCCTGGCCAGAAATTTTTATGGTTAATATTTGGTTTTATGGGTAAGAAAAACCCTAAAATCAAAGTGATTGTTATAGTTTTTGTTAAGTGCTTGATGTATGTCTGTTGAATTAGTGGAACTAGTCTTCTATACTCTTTCAGTGTGAGGCCTGAGCTTGGCTGAAAAGGTCCAAGAACTTTCTGGATAAAATAGTTATGGCCCCAAGATGACAAAAGTCATCTATCTACCCAGGCTTGGAAATTCTTTCCAGTACAGAGGAAGATGATCCAGATAAAATTCATCAAAGAAGGAAAGCATTCAGCCAGACTTCCTCCCTGTAGGGGCTGCTGATCACTTAAATGATAAAAAGTAAAAGCAAATGGGGGTGGGGGAAGTGGGAATAAAAAGGCATCTTGAATACCTCAGCCTGTTGTTATTAAGTCTTGGTCTAGGGACCCACCTGTCCCTGGAATGAGGAAGCCCCTCTCCCAGCTGGGGTGGGGCTCAAGATAGTGGGAAGGGAGGGAGGTATCAGAAAGGAGCTGCATTCTTGCTGGGTTTCTCCTTCACCTTCTCTAGGGGAATCCTCACACTGGATCATGCACTGTTAGACAGGGTTGAACAGAATTCAGTTCACTGTTCTGAACCTGAGTCTCCTCTCCTCACCCAAAATCTACAGTAGAAATTCATTCTCTCTTTTAATAAGATGAAGAACTGAGGTTGGGTGGGGGGTGGGGATGGGAAAGCGTTCATCTTATCAAGAGTACTCTCCAGATAAATGACATAGTTGGAACTGGGATGCCAGAACCCTAGCCCCAAGTCCTGGGTTGTGTCCCAGATGGACCTCCTCTCAGCTTCTCCCAGCAGTGTCTTCCTTGCTTCATGTTCTGAAATGACTGCTTCCTCCTTCCGAGTGGTTCAGACTTTTATCCCAACCCAGGGTGAAGTTGTGGAAGCTAGTGTCATACACCCTGGATGGATGGTAAGCCAACACAGAGCCCCAGACTACAGAGCTCTGGGGGGAATATCAGCGCTCTTGTGACTGAGGTCCAGAGAGGGCAAATAACTTGTTCAAGACCACATAGCTCCGGGGCCACTGTTAAGGGTAGAGCTGGAAATAGAACCTGAGTCTTTTGATCCAACTTTAAAGTTCTCCTGCCCTAAGAGTTTATGATTCCATGACCCTGCTCCAGCATGCCTCCTTCCACACCAGAGCTGCTTTCATCACAAATCTCTTGCCCTAAAATTCCCACAACGCCTTTTCTCATCACTATAGCCATAATAGCTCATGGTCCTGGCCCTTTGAAGAGGCAAGAACCTTTTTTAGGGGTGTTTGGAAATATATTCAGCAGCCATATTGCTCTTCTCATGGTCAACTCCCCTCAACTTCTTTAAATCATCACTCTTGCACTTCCCCTCCTCCCAGGTCCTGCTTTCTAGTCCAGCACGTTTGCTCTTTGCTTTCTGAGAGCTACTCCCCTCCTTCCCCATCCTCATTCATCCTGGCTGAACACAGTTCTGGCTCTGACTTGGATGCAGAAACCCAGGATGTTGAAGACAGAAGGACCTAAAAATCAGAGTCATGCCCCCATATTGGGGAGTTGTCTACTAGAGACCCAAGGGCACTATGCCCTATATTGCTTCAGGATCAGAGTGGACCTTCCCATTCTTTTGCTCATTTGTTCATTTATTGCACATTTAAGATGTATATATTTTTGATGAGCACCTACTATGTGCAGATACTGTGGACGAGCTTTACTATATCCTACAGTTCTTAACCATAGCCTAGTGAAGTAGAGATTAAGCCCATTGTATAAATCAGGAAGTTGAGATTCAGAAAGGATCTATAATTATAGGGCTAATACGATCCAAGGTCCACAATGAAACCCAGGTCTGTTTGAATGCCTTGAAACCCAAGTCATAGGCAGAGCGAGGGTGAGTGAGTAGAGGTGTGGAGCCGAACCACCATCTTCCATGGCCTCCCTGGCTGCAGGACTGAAGGAGTGAGTATCACTGTGGAAGTGATTCCATATCTTTAAACCAAACTTCAGAGAGGAGTGGTCTCAGGATGAGGGGGACAAGAAGGTGAACATGGCTGAGAGCCCTTAAAACTCAGCCTGCCAACTCTCAGCCTGTGTATTTGTGATCACCTGGCTGCAACCTGGAAACCACACAGTCACACCCAGGTAGGCAGCTCGCCCCTCCCTGGGTTGAGGAAGCAGGAAAAGGTAGCAGTGAGGGTAGCAGCCAGGTCTGCTGGGCTTGGTGGCAAGTGTCCTAGCCAGGATGGGCTCCCTATGGGGGCTGGCCCTGCCCCTTTTCTTCTGCTGCTGGGAGGCTGGAGTCCCTGGGTGCTCTGCAGGTAAGGAGGGGAGAGGGGGCCTGTGGGCTTCTTTCCTGGCAGGGCTCTGGGTATGAGTTTCTGTGTGGGCAGCCCCTGTGGGTGAAGGTAGGCTTTTCTAAGTTAATTATAATTGATTATGGACTGCTGTCAAGTCAGTCAACTCATAGCGACCCCTCCTTGGGTTTCCAAGGCAGTATCACTACAGAAGTAGATTGCCCAACCTATACAAACGTGAAGTATTATTATTGTTGATAAAGAGTATGCAAATAGCAGTGTGTATCAATTTAAGTACGTATGGATACTGTTATTGAAAGGGTCCCTATGAATTGTATATATGCAGATGGGATTTTGAGTAAGTAGGGTGGTGTGTGTGTGAGAGAGAGAAAGAGAGAGATGGGGGTGAGGGCTGGTTGATCATTCTTATAGCCAAAGAATGTGGCTTAACAAGATTTGAACTCTTCCAAGTTTATTTTCTAACATGAATTTCCTTCAAAATATAGTTTTTGAGTGAAAGATCTGACTGTAATAGATGGCTTGGGTGGGAGGCTGGATTCAGGAGTCCCTGAAAGAAGGGAACTACCATTGATCTGTCACTAACAGGATCTGTGCCAAGCTTGCCACATGCTTTATCTTTTTCGTCTTCATGATTACCCTACGAGAGAGGAACTGTTGTTACCCCTACTTTTTTAAAAAAAAGTTTTATTGTTATTTGGGTGCAAATTTACAAAGCAGAATCCTTTTACTCTCAACAGTTCATACACATTTTGTTTCGTGGCATTGATTACAATCCCAACAATAAATAACTCTCCTCTCAACTCCTCCTGTGACTACCCCTTCCCTGTGTGTCTCTTATTTATGTGTCCCTGTCTGTCCAGCTTTTTCCCTATGTAAATGCTGCCTTTCTGATCTCTCCTAGTCGATTGATCTAAGGGGTACATCTCCTTGGGATAGGTGTTCTGCTCGTAGGCCTTTCTACTGTTTGGCTGAGAGCTAATCCATGGAAGTGAGTCCAGTTCCAGGTCCAAAGAATAGACCAGTGCCATAGTCTTGGAGGTTTTGTCAGCCTCTATCCAGACAGTAATTCTGGTCATTTTTGTGTTTTTGAATTTTGTTCCACATTTTTCTCCCACTCTATCCAGGATCTCCAATTTTGATCCCTTTTCCAAGTGGTTGACATTGGTAGCTAGGCACCATCTAATTCTAGTCTCAGGGTTGTGAAAGATGGGGTTCTCATGGTCCATTAGTCTCTTGGACTAATTTTTTCCATATGACTTTGATTTTTGTCACTCTTCTTTGCTCTAGACAAGAGAAAAGCAATAGTTGCATCTTAGATGGTTGCTTGAAAGCTTTGGTTGCTACTCACCAAAGTACGATGTAGAACAGTATTTTTATGTACTACATTGTGCCAATTGAGCTTGGTGCCCCGAGATCATGGTCCTGACCCTGAAGACCTGGTGACTCACTCCCTTAGGGTGTCAGATTGTCACTGAGAAGCTACTCCAACCTCGCTTCCTGTTAGTTCTATAATGTATATGGATTTTTTTTTTTTTTTTTTGTAGCGTAAGTATACATGTAGGAATATCATCAGTCAAATCTGTCTATGGTCATGTCTTACCCTCATTTCTAAAGATGAGGAGACTGAGGCTTATGAGGATTAAGTAACTCATTGACAGAGCCAGGATTTGAGTACACACAAAAATACACACACACCACTAGCCACTGAACAACACTGTCTCTTGCAAGCACCCACCCACCATCTACCAGGCTTGTGCTGGACATTTTACACTTACTTGAATTTTCACAATCTCCATGAAATAGGTACCCCTAGTTCCATTTTAGGAGTCTGGGTGGTACAAGTGGTTTGCAATTGGCTGTTAGCTTAAAAGCTGGTGATTCAAACCCACCCAGCAGCTCTGCAGGAGGAAGTCCTGGTGGGCTGCTTCTTAAAGATGATAGCCAAGAAAACCTTACGTAGCAGTTCTCCTCTGTAACACACGGGGTCACCATGAGTTTGGGGCTGACTTGATGGCAGCCAACAACGACAACAAGCTCCATTTTACAGATGAGAAAGTGCAGATTTGCAGAGGAGAGACTTGCCAAGGGTCACACGGTTAGTAAGCAGCAGAGAAGGAAGAAGGAATTCAAACTCAGGGTCCAAAGCCCATACATTTCCTGCTCTTCCAGTACTTAATGTTTTATTTGAGGAATGGACTAGGAGGCTGAAACATTCCAGAGCTGTGAGATGGAGGAGTTGGCTTTGGTGTTTGAGAACAGTCAGGGAATCCATAGACCCCTGACAAGTAAGACACTTGGGCTGGGTGGGACTGTGAGAGACCTAGAAATAAAGAGCAATGGATTTAGGAAGCATGAAGAATTTTCATATCAGGAAGGACATCACAGGGCTCCTGGAAAAGGAAGGAAACATGCCAGGAAAGGTCAGTGGTCAGACTCCAAGAGGCTTACTTCAGCTACCTCTAAACACAAAATACAGACCTTTCTTATATGTTAAGGGTTTTTACTTGTACATATGAATCCTGGCCACACACATTGCCTCTGATGGCCTGCAAACCAATAATCAGCAAGGATTCTGGGACTTACTTGCCTCAAGTGGCTCATCTGGGCTTCAGAGGACATCAGTCAAGATAATACCAGTTCTGTGGCTGCCACAAGGGATTAGTGTCCCTTATACTGTCTCTCTCCTTCCTTGTTTATAGAGATAAAAATAGGGATAAAAACAACTCCCCTCCACCTCCTTCAGTGGTGCCTACGACATGTGTAAAGTTAGTCCATTGGAACTCATAGCTCACAGAGTCATTCTTACCCAATGTGGGTCCCAGCACCAGCAGACCAGACCTGCTGGTTGCAATAAACCACATAGAAATGTCTGTCATGACTGCAGGTGTGAGGACAAACTCAGAGGGAGCCTTCCACACCACTGATACCACTGAGACCTCAGTCCGCATCCCTTTGGAAACTCAAACCCTAAGAACTGAGACCTCTGCTGGAACCTTTGCCCAAGCTGGCACAACTTCAGAGGCAGAGACAAAGGACATCAACACCATATCCCCTGCAACAGAGGCGAAGGCCCTAATAAAAAGCATACCTTACAAGTTCATGGTTGGGACCACCAAGCCTGTGGAGAGAATAGTCACAAGTGGCAGCACCCCAGTAACAGAAATGACCACAGTTGAGACTGTCATGGGCAGTGATCTCACAGAAATAATCTTTGACACCCTTTGTGCTGATGACAGCTCAGAAGAGGTAAAAGTGATCACGGTTGACATCTCAACATTGGCTCACACCTCCACAGAAGCTGAAGCCTTGACTTTGGAGAGTAGTGCCTCCTCCGACATCTCCTTTCCAGCCATCATCACTTCACCAGCCCCAGAACCTGAGATCAGTGCTCCAGCTAAAGCCTGGGTTGCCTACACCATCACTGATGTCGAGGTTACTAATTGCAGTGTAATAGAAATAGAAACCACTGCCATCATCCCTGGGCTGTCAGACACAAATCACAGCCCCACAAAAGGAGTAGAGGCTCTGTTGACCCCTGAGATATCAGCTTTGTCTGATCCCACTGAAGCAAAATCACGCATCACTCAGACTACAACCTTGGTTAAGACCCTGTGGGCAGCCAGCACCACAGAATCAGTAACACCTAGTACCACAGCTGAGAACCCATTAACCACAAATAACACTACAGAAAAAGAAACAGCAGTTAAGGCCACTACCCCCCATGGGACTTTGGCAACAGTTAGCACTCACTCCTTGGAAGAAAGCGCAGCCTTCTCTGTCGGGACAATAAGCCACATTGAGGCATTAGAAGCAGTAACAATCTCCACAGAAGTTGAGTCACCAATGAGCAAAGCTACTACTCCTGCTATATTTGCAGCTACGGTCCATAGCCCCTCAGAAGTAGCCACCATTAAGAACTCTACACCTTCAGAAACTTTTTACACAGATGGCACTAACAGTGGAACCTTCCCAATCAGCAAGGGCCCTCTTCCTTCTGTCCATCTGACTACAACCAACATCAGCCAAGGAGCAAACATCACCTTAGCTAAGACCACAACCTCAGCGAAGACCCTGATGATGGTCAGCAAAACCAGAGGAAAGCCTCCAACAGCCACATCCACCACTTCTCAGAAAAGGCTGACCACAAAAGGTACTGCAGGTAAGTGGCTCCTCTGTGTGTGATCTTTGGGGATCTGACACTTGGAAACTCCAGGATGTCTACACCCTAAGAATTAGGGAGGAAGGAAGGACCTGGGGGTCTATCTGAGCTGTCTCTCCAACATCATCTCTTCACAATCTTCTAGAGGTTCTTGCCAAAATCAGTAATGAACAGAGTAAGAGTTGTGTATGGAAAGAGTGCTGGGTTGGGAGTCTGGCGAAATGGTTTGAAACTTTGCCTCTGTCCTTAGCAATCTAAGTAACCATGGACAAATCCCCCTACCCCTGCACCTCCCCTACCCGCCCCCAAAACCAAAAACCAGACTCACTGCCGTTGAGTCTATTTGACTCAGTGACCCTCAACTCATAGAAACCCCTCCTTGGGTTTTCAAGATGGTATTTCTACGGAAGTAGATTGCCCAATCTTCCTTCCAAGGAGTGGGTGGTGGGTTTGAAGCACCAGCCTTCTGGTTAGCTGTCAGATGCCTTAGGCACTATGCCACCAGAGCTCCCCCAACCCCTAGGCTTTAGTTTCTCCATCTGTAGTTGGAGGGGGTTGCTTTGGCTGAGCACTGAAACCCTTTCTCAGCTCTCACTTTCTATGAAGTTACCGACTGAGTAAGCACTATACATCAGTCAGGGCTCCACATTTTATTTGAAAGTCATGGTTCTCATGTTCTGGAAGCCTATGGTCCAGTCATAGCCGCACAGAGGGGCCATATGTGAACATCTGGCCAGCATTGCTGCCCTTCCAGCAGGAAAGTGGGGGTGATAGGATGTACTTTGTGTTGTTGGTGCCAGAGATAGTGACTTGAAAAAAAAAAAAAAAAAAGGCTAAGTTTAGGAATTTAAAGCTACATTTCTGAGAAAACGGGTATTTCTTAGTGAAGTCCCTTGTCAGAGGCTGCTTGGTTTGACTAACTCCTGGTCAGCCTGTAGCCATTTTTTAAAAGCTAGTTCTCTGTGAATAGACATTTAGGTTGTTTCCAGTATTTTATTATGACAAACAGTACTACACTAAACAGTACATTTCTCATATGTATGTTATTTATCTGTAGGATAAATTCGTAGAAGTACAATTGCTGTATCAACTTTAATAGTATTCTGACAGGAAGAAATGATTACAAGTGACAGATAAAAGGCAAGCAGATAAAAGCGCAAGAAAAGAAAGAACTTTCTTACAGAGCTGCTAAGCCAGGAAGGATGAGTTAGAAGCCCTCTTTCAACCCCCACTTTCAACTTAGAGCTGAAAGAATTCATTGAAGACATCCCTTCAGAGAGCCAGGCTTTCTCCAGGCACTCTCCCTGGCCGGGCTTTCTCCCAACAGCCCAGTCTGGGACCTCCAAGTGTTGAGAACATTCTAAATCCTCTTCCATTTCTCATTCCTCACACGAACGTTTTGACTTCTCCAAATGAGGATGGTGCCTCTAGCCATCATTTCCTTCATGCAGTCTTAGCTCTTTTTGCAATGAGTAAATGTAAGATTCCCTGTGAATACAGACATGCTTATACACGAGTTGCACACAAGGATGTGGGAAGGGAGGCAAGGGCTGGGTAGTGCAATGCACATCTTGATTCCTAAACTAACTTGCCTGTATTTTTATCTTCCTACTTTTCTGAAATTATAGGTGGAGATGGAGGCTTCCTCCTCCTGCGGCTGAGTGTGTCCTCCCCAGAAGACCTTACTGACCCTCGGGTGGCCCAGAGACTGATGCAGCAGGTGAGTGGTCCAGGGAAGTAGAGGAGAATGAATGATTATAGAGGACTCCAGGGGAAAAAGTGCAGGATACAGAAGAGCAACTACTATACTTGAGAGGGGGTCTAGTTTCTTATGGAGTATTGGGAACTAAAACCAAGGATCTCTACTTAGCTTTATTTCTGTCTTTTCTGAGTTCTTAATTCTCCTTTTCTGGATGTAAAAAAAGAGAAATCTTTTTCTCAGCAAGAAATTCTTTTCCAGCTGCCAACTTCCACAGGCCCTAGGAAGTTCAAATCTACTGGGCCCTGAGGAGAAGGTCAATGATACCAATGGGGAGGTAGATAGGACTCTTGGTTGCAAGTGACAGAAGCCCAGCTCATAGTAGCTTACAGAAAAGGCAAGATATTGGCTGAGAAACCTAGAAGTGGTTTTCCAGCATCAGTTATAGCTGGATCCAGCAGCTCAAACATGGCAGTCAGCATTTTCTCTTTCTCATCCTCTCTTAGCTCTGCTCTTCTCATTCTGCAGAGACTGCCTCTACATGTAAGGAAAAATGGCTGTGACAGCTCTAGATTAACAAGCTTTATGCTTAGCAACCTTAGCTGAGGAAGTCATTTGCCTCTCCAAATATCTGCATAGCATACAAGGGACCTGCAAGTTCTACCATGGCTGATAGCCCAACCAGGATCACATGGAATGAGAAGGACAGGCTTCTAAGGAAATAGGGGTCCTAGGCAAAAACAACAAGAAAATCCAAAAAACCATACATGTACACTTTAGTTGGAGACTAAGATTGGAATATATTTGTACAAGTTGGAAAAATTCTCCTGATCCAGATCATTGGATAGGATTTCCAGTGGTGAAATTCTGGGATCAGGACTTCTGGGGATGGTGTGAATCTTTGGAAGGTTATAATGGGTGTGCTCAGTGCATATTTCACTGGCTCAGTTTCTCTCAGGTATACCTTCCCTACTCTATAAAATAGGAGTGGGAACATGGTGTAGTGGGAAGTTTCTGGGCTCTGGTGAAGATGGGCCCCAGTACTCAATGTAATGTGGACAACCTGCCCCTTTGGTAGTGTGCACTAACACCTAAAGTTTGCATGTAACCTCTCTCATAGTCTATGGATGCCATATAGCTTGTGAGTGGGTCTGGCTTGGTGTCCTTCCTTGTGAGAGTAAACCTTACAGAAGTTCTGCCTGAGGCATATGCTAGAGGTAGGGTCTTGGAGACAGGATGGAAAGGTGAGGTGGCTATTCTTGATAGACAGAAGTAGGAAGTATCCTTTGCAAGTAGCCACCCTTGACGTAAGCAAAGAGAACGACCTGGCTGTAGGAAGAAAAAGGAGATTTGTTGCAGGGTATAATGGTGCATAGAATTAAAGAAATGCCAGATGAGCAGGCTTGAAAAACAGGCAGGAGGAACCCAGGGATTTCTGGGAGCTAGTCCTTGGGAACATTCTGACTAGGACACTGTTATTTTTGCTGATCACTCTTGCCATTGGATGTTGTCACAGCCGATGGACATCATTTATGTACACCCAATGTTATGCATGGGAGCTCTGGTAGCATAGTGGTTAAGGCACTTGACTGCTAACCAGAAGGCTGGCAGTTCAAACCCACCAGCCACTCCTCGGAAGGAAGATGGGGCAATCTACTTCATAGTGATACTGCCTTGGAAACCCAAGGAGGGGTCGCTATGAGTCTGGTCCGATTCAACAGCACATAACAACAACCACCAATGTTATGCATGGGTTCTCACTGCCCCTTTTTCTTTGGGTCATCTGTTACAGTCAAAATCCTGAGTGGGAATGTCCAATAGACTGAGCCTAGCTCTTGTTTCCAGACTGTGCTTGTTCTGGTTACGTAGTGCCACTCTAACAGGAACATACCACAAATGGGATGGCCTTAACAAACAGGAGTTTATTCTTACAATTTGGAGGCTTTCAGTCCAAGTTCAAAGTGCCAGGCTCTAGGGGTTGGGTGAAAGCCCCTAAACTGTGGGGTCCAGCTCTGCCTCCCGCTCCCAGCCCACTGGAGCTAGAGGCTTTTCTTCACTCAGACAGCTGCTGGCTGCTGAGGCTGAGAAGCCTCAAGGTTGACAAGTAAAAAGGCAGGCCATTAACTTAAGTCCATTGTAAGTCCCAAGGTCAGCAGAGCATGGCAGGCTGCTGAGCAATGACACAGCTACATGCAGGCTCCAAGCGTGCCATAAGGTAGAGACAATTCCCAAGGCTTCTCCTTATATACAGGAAGCAGACGACACCCCAATGGCAGCTACTCAGCTGCTTGTGGTAGATCCTACCATGGAGTTGATTGCCAGTCTCATCAGCTGACCAGCCACTCAACCAGGCCCACCCAAGTTGACACAGAAACATAACCACCACAGCACTGCCAAGGGATGGGAAGTGGGGATATTTGTGCCCTTGATGTTCTCTTAGTAGAAGGGAGGCCCATCAGAACTCCCACAGTGAAGAATTTCTTAAACTTGGGCTAGAGGTTTTGATGTGGGACAGCCAAATAAATGACAAATGCCTACTACACATGATAATCAAAGGAGCAAGCATGAATCCCAGGTGAAGAGGGAGGCTAGAATTGAGTGTCAGATCTGAGCAGGTATTTCTGGGGTCAGAAATGAGGGAGATCAGGAACAGCTCAGACAGCTGAGATCCAGGAACTAGGCTATGAAGATACTGGGTGTCAGTTCTTGTCAGGAGTCAACCACTGGTGTCAGCTCAGGGGTCAAAAAACAATGAGCTTTGGAGCCAGATAGATCAGGGTGTGAATTTTAGTCCCTAGCTGTGTGACTTTGGGCAAGTCACTCCATATTATTTTCTTCCATTATAAAAGGGAGGTAATAATACCTGTTTCACAAGGCTGCCATGAGGTTTAAATGACATCATGGGCCCAAAACATGGGAAGCTCAGAATGTGTTGCTGCTCTCCACACACATTCACTCCCACTGTCCCTTCCTGTCCTTGCCCATGGAGTGCTCATGGGCTGGATGTACCACCTGATTCCTTTTGCCTTTCAGCTCTGCCGTGAACTACATGCTCACATGCTTCCCATCCAAGTCTCCTTGCTGCACATCAGAAGGAGCTAAGGAACATCTGTGGCAATGAGGAATGGCCCATGTGCCCAAAGGAAGACAATTCTGTCTATGACCTGGGCTCCCACCAACAGACTGGGACTCTCCACTATGCTGAGATGTGCCTGCAAGTCTCCTACCATGTTCAGCTGGCCCAGACTCCTTACCCCACACATGGCAGCAGGACCCTGGCTCACAAGCACCTCAGTGTGCATGAGTGTGTGGATGGGAGCTCCCTTGTCCCCAGAAGTTACTTTGAACTTCTCTTGTCACATGTACATGTTTCAGTAAAAATAACCTAATCTCCCATTTGTCATCTGATGTTTGCTTCCACCCTGTGTTAAAATTACACTCAGCATGGTCTAGAGGTTGTCTTTTTTTTCCCCACTTTTTATGGTATAGGAATTTTGTGTCTTCTTACATCTACCTCTCTCTTTCATGCTCCCCTAGTTCTTGGTTTGCATCTTTATCTATTCTACTTTTGTTTTGACACTAGCCACACATGCTGCACTTCTAGGACCTAGGTCAGAACTCATAAATTAAAGGGCACGGTCCTCAAGAGGCTAAGTCTGCTCAAGACCTCAGACACCAGCACAAGCTTGGGAGTGTTGTTACACTCACACTTCTGAGCTGTTGGCTACAAATTTGGAGGTTCCTCATCTTGCTCAGGATATCAGTCATAAGCTCTGGGATCCTCAGATCTCCTCACTTCTGACCTGCTGACTCCCACCCACTACTCGCTTAGGATGACTCACAAAATTCATGGAAAGTGCTATATTTACAATTACTGTTTTATTATAAGAAAAAAGATACAAATGAAGACATGTATAGGGTGAGGTCTAGGACACACTTCCCTTCCACATGGATCAATGTCTTTCACCAAGCAGAAGATTCTGTGTCCAGAGCCTTATTGAGGTTTCATTACATAGGCATGGTTGAATGCCTATGAATCAGTTCCCCTCCCCTGACACACACACACACATATACACACACACTCCCTAAGTTTAGGCTGACAGCACCTCTTGGTCTCTCTGGTCTGGCCAGCCCTGGTGTGTCACCTCATTAGCATAAACCCTGTAGAGTGGTCTGGAGGCCTCATCAAAGGGAAATGCCAAGGTTTTAGAGATTATTTTTCAGGAACCAAGGACAAAGTCCAAATTCTGTAGGTAAGGTTAATGTAAACCCCATAGATTGGAATATATTTATATAAGTTGGGAAAATTGTCCTGAATCCAGATCATTGGATAGAATTTCCAGTGGTAGAATTCTGGGATCAGGACTCTGGGATCTCTCAAACACTGCTAATGTGAATGTAAATGGGTACAACATTTTAGGAAGACAAGTGGATTCCTTATCTAAAGCTTAGAGTCCCTGGGTGGTGCAAATCGTAATGTTCTTGGCAGCTAATGGAAAGTATGGTAGTTTGAGTCTGCTCAGAGGCTCCTCCGAAGTAAGGTGTGGTGATCTACTTCTGAAAAATCAGCTGCTGAAAACCTATGGAGCACAGTTCCACTCTGATACACTTGGAGTTGCCATGAGTCAGAGGTGACTTGATGGCAACTGGTAATCTAAAGCCTTAAAAGAAAAGAAAAGAAAAGAAAAAAGGCCTTTAACCCAGCAATTTCATTTCTAGGAATTTATGTTAAGGAGATAATTAAGAATCTGTGGAAAGACTGATGAATAAATATGTTAATTGAAGAACTGCTTCCAACAGCTGATAAAAGAAAAACCCAAAACCAAATAGAAATGACTTAACATGTCCCAACATAGCAGTTTGATTAAGTATAGAGTTATTTATACAGTCTACAAAAGTACTCTTGAGAAGTATATTTATTAACATGGAAAGAAGTTCAGAAAATATTACTTTGTCCTCTCTTATTTATTTATTTATATTGTGTTACCTCTTCCCTGTGTCCATCCCTCCATACACTCCTGCCCCCTGAGCTATCTCCCTGTGCATAAGCAGCCCTTCTTTCTCCCATGATTGTTC